GGTCGGGAGTTTTGTGGGCGGTCCTAGTCCTTTTTGGGCCTCCAGGGGGCTTCTTGTCGCCAAGCCCCGTGAAGCCTCCTGTCGAGACGCGCCAGGTCTCCTGGGGTCGAAGTCCCCTCGCTTCCCCAGGGTGCTGCCGAGCGCACCGCCTGTCGCCATCCTCTTGCGCCCCTTGCGGGGTCTGGGTCAGTGGCGCGACACGCAGGTCTGCTCCTCCTCCTCCCTCCCACCTCTCCCTCCTACATCCCCTCACTTCCATCCTTTCCTCCTCCTCCTCCTCCTCCTCCTCCCCCTCCTCCTCCTCCTCCTCCTCCTCCTCCTCCTCCTCCTCCTCCTCCTCGCTTCCCCTTGGGTGCTGCCAGAGGCACAGTTGTCGCCGCGCTCCTGCGCCCCACATGGGGGCGGGGGTCGTGCGATGCGCAACTCCCAGCAATTACCTTCGCCCCCCTTGGCGTTGCCAAGCAAATGGCAGCACGAGGAACGAAAGGAGGACTTTCACTGGTGGCTGATAGGACACTTTCCCGCCAGAAGTCACGACACTTTCCCCAGGCCTGGTTCTTCATCCCGAGTCGACTCGGGATGAAAAGCAGGGCTCTGGATGAAAAGCCGACCCCAGAACCGTCTAACAACTATGCAGTTCTTACGGTCCCGGCCCTGGGACCGTCATTCGGATACTCTGGGCTGCTTCCTCTTGGGATTCAGTGGTTTGCGAGTCCTTGCGAGTCCTACTACCGCTTGTCCAATTGACGATCGAGCCATCGGACACTCATGCTGAGGTTCAGTTGGCTGCAGAGGTCCTTCGAGTTCTGATTCCAAGCAGGCGTTCTTGCAGCAGAAATCTGACTTGTCGGGGGGGTGGGCACGTGCTGTCAGAACGGGTGGAAGAGGGGCTGGAGGACAAGGAGGAGGCGGAAGAGGGCGGAGGGGGGAGGGATGGGCAAGCTCAGACGGAAGGTCAAGGACCGACGTCATGCTTTCTTCGTGACGCGGACCCCCTGAGGTCGCGACCCCCTGGACCCGCGCCTCGTCCCGAGGCGCTTCTTTGACGGCCCCGAGGCTCGGCGAGGGCCCCCGGAAGCCGAGGAGTGCCCGGAGCTCTCCGTCCGAAGTGCCTCCTCACCCGGCTGGAGGTCTGGGGGCATGGGGCCCCGCGCGGGGCTCATTTCGACTCCTCCGATTCGATCCGGCTCGATCTCGACGACTCTCGATTCCGATTCGATTCGGCTTCGGATTCTGATGTGGGATCTGATCGCTCAGTGGAGGCCCACTATCTGCCGATGTCTGCCGATTCGGTTTTTCCCGACTCGTCTGTCGATGTCCGTCGATCCGATTCATGTCGATCGCCGATACGATTTGTCGATTCGATTCAGGGCTCTCCTGCCCGCGTGCGCCTGCTCCGCGGGGCCGCCGCGAGGTTGTCATCGTGCCCGGCTACGGCATGGCCGTGTCCCAGGCGCCCCCCCCCCCCCGTGGGTCCGGGAGCCGCGGCCGGCCGCCGAGCCTCGTGCTCGGCCGGTGCAGGGCGCAGAGAGGAGCCAAGAGGAGCAGAGAGGAGCAGAGAGGAGCAGAGAGGTCACGAGGAGTGAAGGAGCAAAGGGCAGAGGCCACGAGGAGCAGAGAGGTCGCGAGGGTGAGGCGTTCCGAGGCTTCCACGGCTCCCGAGGCTGCCGAGGAGGAGGAGGTACCCACACCTCTACCCTTTTCCGCGTTTTCCCCTTTTTGTCGGGCCTCCTGGGAGGCCCTCGTCGCCACCGCTGGACTCGCCTCGAAGTTCTTCAGTTGGAACGCACCCCGGGAGAGGTCCGGGGAGGAGCGGTATCGGTACCTCTTGGTTCTTGGTTCACCCACCCACGGCTCATAAGGTTCCCAGGCTCTTGCATGGAGCATGGAGATGCGTCGCGTGTGAGGGCACGTGCGGGGAGGCGGCGGCTGCGACGCTGCCTCGCACAGAGGCGCACAGGTGGGAGTGCACGCAGTGTGCGGCATCTGCGCAGAGACAGCGCAGAAACAAACATAGCATTGAGTTATTGGACCATATAAAGATGATCGGAGATGGACAGACCTCCTACCCTGACACGTCGATTAAGGAATTGGCCGTTTTCGGTTCGCGAGAGGGCGTCGCGGCCGTCGTCTTTGCGGGTCCAGGTCCGTCGGTTTCGGTCCCAGGTCGTTTTCACGAAGGGGAGGTCTACCAAAGGGAGGTTTGTCCACCGCCGAGATGCGCCCTGTGCGATGCTCTACACGGGTTGCAGGCACGAGGGCCGGTAGATGCTCTGGGAATCTTGGAGCGCATCCTGAGTCAAGCTTCTCTCGACATCGTGCTCGTGGTAGATGCTCTGGGAATCCTGGAGCGCATTCTGAGCCAGCCTTCTCTCGACGTCGTGCTCGCCCTGCGTGTGCCCAGCTTCTCCGGCGCCCCGAGAAAGGCATCGGGGCGGCAGGTTCTCCCCGCCCGACAGGCTATAGGGTTGTCAGCTGATGTCGAGGCGTCGGGGGAGCTGCAGTGGCCCAGCACTGCTGCTGGTCAGCTGCAGTCCCTAAGGGCTTGTCGACTTTTCGCCAATCGACTGGTGAGAATCGAGCCAGATAAACCCAGGCAAATGCAGATAAATCGAGGTAAATCCAGGTCAATCCAGGTAAATCTAGATAAATCTTGGTAAATCCAGGTAAATCCAGAGATCTCCAGGGAAAGTTCGAGCACTTCGCGGCCGCTCCAGCGCGAGTCGAAGGACGGCAGAAGTCGTTAAGCCTTTAACGATACAGGGGCGGGGGTCCGAGGTGCTGGGTTCGGGAATGTTTCCTGCCGGCTCAAGCTCGCCTCAAAGGCGACTCAAGCCGACTCAAAGTCGACAGATGTTCGACGCGGCATCGACGCACGAGTGGAGCGAGTGGCTCCAGGAGGGTCCCCAGAACGAGCATCTGAGAAGGATGGGTCGTTCTTGTGATGCGAGGGAGCCGTTCTTATGACACTGCATCTTACGGAAAAAAAGTTCGCACAGTATGTGCATGGGGGGTTGTGCGGGGGGGCGGTGCGGCGCCCTTGAGGGGTTGTGGAAGGCGATTTTGTGCGATGTCACTGGCAGGGGTATCGACAGCTCTGGTGTGCTCAAAATATCCAGTCTAGTACTACCCTTCAGCACGCTGTCATCAACACCCACGCTCACGTTGTGTATTTTGAGCAATACAAGCAGCAGCAGTACTAGGAGAAGCAAGAGTTGCGGCATGTGCAGGGCTTTTGAACATCGGCACAAGCCAGGAGGCGGAGGATGGGTACAAGGAGGAGAGTTGTTTCCACCAGCGGACATACTTACACCTGTGAGGCTAGAGTTGCGAGGATGTCTCAGGCGAAATTTGCAATGTCGACTCATGCCAGGGCGCCTCTGAGCCCCAGTTGCGAGGATGTCGCAGGCGAAACTGGCTGGACCCCCGTAGCCCAGGGCGTCTCAGCGCCCAGAATTGCGAGGATGTCTCAGGGTAAATTGGCCTGGTTGCCGCAGGTCAGGGCAGCTCTGTAAGCCCAGAGTTACGAGCATAGGCCTGTCGAAATTGGCCAGATCATGGCATCTGTGAGTTGGGAGTTGCGATGACATCTCAGGCGAAATAGGTCTTATTATTGAATCGTTTCGCTCATTCCGCCGGCCCATATTGCCTCGCCGTTGTCGTTTGTCGGGGTGTTGTTGTCAAGGCAAGGCGGTTGGGCGGCTGCCATTTTTCGGAGGCGGTGGGTGGTGGGTCAGAGGCCTCATGGAAGTTGGTTGGGCTCACTTGGTTGGCCTCTCAGGGGCCTCTGGGTAGCAGTTTTGAGGCCTCTTGGGGGCCGTGTTCGGGCGTCTTGGGGTGCCTCTTGGGGGCCTCTTGAGGCTTCTTGGGGTGCCTCTTGGGGGCCCCCTGGGGGCCTCTTGGGGGCCTCTTGGGGCCTCCTGGGGGCCTCTTGGGGCTGAAGGCTGGACTTTTCCGGTTCCTGGTCCCCTGGGCTGTCTTGAGGCCATCTTGGGCCGTCTTGGGGCCCTCTTGGAGGCTTCGTGGGCCGTCTTGGGGCGGTCTTGGAAGCCCCTTGGGCCGTCTTGGAGCGCCGGTAAGCCGAAAAGGCGAGAACGCCCAAAACCTTCAAAAACTGAGGAAACAAAACAAATTTCTGCCTGTGGGCCCTCTTGGGAGGTCTCTTGGAGGCCTCTTGCGGCGTCTTGAAGGCGCCTTGGGCTTTCTTGAGGCCATCTCTGGCGTCTTCGATCGCTCTCGGACTGTCTCGGACCATGTTGAGCTCTCTCGGAGGCCACTTGAAGCGCTCTTGGGAGCCTGCTGGGACCTGGCAGGGACCTGCCCAGGACCTGTCCGGGACCTGCATCGGACGGGACCTTGGCGGGACCTTGCCGGGATCTTGCCGGGGTATTTTTCGTCCGGGGACCCCCAGGGGCGGCCCCGCGCGCGCGAACTAGAACTATTGTAAACCAATTACCGGAGATCTTAGCACGCCCTTGGCCCGTTGGGCTGGCGAATTTCAGGTTCGGGCAAGCATTGCGAGGATGCCTCGGGCGCGGCGCCCAGTGGGAGATGGCGAGTGGCAGCTGGAGCATGGGAGGGGGGGAAGGAAGAAAGGAAATAAAGGGATGACGAGATTAAGGAGGGAGGACTTCTGGATGTGAGTGGCATCTGCTAAATTCTGATCCTTGGTGATGATTTGTGATATTGGCTCGTGAGGGGGACATGTTTGAATTCCTTGTTTTGGATGCGTTTGTCGCTAGATACATCGTCAATGTTCTGATGCCAGCAATGGTTCCCGCGCGGGAGGCCCTCGCATTTCTTAGCTTAGCGGGGTTGTGTGGGTTGAGCTGGGGTTGTGCAAGCTCTTTCCTGATATTGTAATGGCCTCCGGCCAGTGCCGCCGATCCGAGGGGCTCCGGACTCGGTGATCTTCGCGGCTCCGTGGCCTCCTCCCTTCTGGATTCTTCTGGTCCTCTTTGTTCTCCTCGGGGGAGGCCTGGAGCGGTCCCGGGGGGGGT